CGGACCTTCCGATTTCCAGATCCATAAAGGAACCGACTAATCCGGAATCGAGCCAGGTAGAACCACAAGAGCGGCAAAGCTCTCCCTCAAGAGTTTTAACACGGCTGCATTCCCAGGGTTTTTTTTTTTTTTTTTTTTTTTGGTTGGGGACTGGGGTCTGCCACGTCATAGACCCTTTTGACTCTGTATATAATATAAGTAAATGTTTCGGTCCCGCTACGAAATCATTTCATTTGAATTTGTAACCGTTAGATCAACTATCCCTCACGGTTATGTTACAAACCCAACGGAATAGTTTAGCATCTCTCATTAATATAATCCACAGTAGTTTTATAATTTTTCTACTAATTTTCAATAAAATTATTATTCAAAATGTTTAATGTATAATTAACTATTCTCATATGTAAAAAAATTAGAGTCTTCTATTTCAAAGAAGTCTTTATTAAGCTTTCCCTAAATTAATTTTTTGGACCGAAATATATTATTTTGAATCATTATTTTACAAATAATAAATTAGAACTTCCGGCTATTCAAGATTCTACTTCATCTAAACTTTTTAATTTACGTTGGATTGAAAAAAAAAAACAATTATGTCTCCAAAATCATGGCACATTAACTCCCGGTAAAGTTATAGTCTTCCTAATGTTGTAATGAAGGATACAATACTCAAAAATGATTATGAGTAAAAGATCAGAAGCAATAATCAAATCAATTTTCACTTTTTGTAGTAAACTTTACTTTGCATTCATGTGATTAGGGCTGCAAATCCTGAACGCTCCAGTCAAATATTTACTTGAGCTCGAATTCGGGTCGAGCTCGAGCCTATATTTTATCTTGTCGAGCGGGTCGAAATACATGTGACATTATTAAAATACCCCTTATATATATTTACATAGGTCCTTAATGGTATTTTTACCTTTTCACTTAAAAAATTTCGAAGCGAACTCGAGTATTTTGATTTCGAGTCGAGCTCGAGCCAGTGTAATTTTTTATTAAGTCGAGCTCGAGCCTAAAAAATCGAGCTCGACGAGCTTGAGCTCGAGCAGGTAAAATATAAAATCAATCCTGCTCGATAAGGCCAATGCTCGACTCGACTCGACTCGTTTGCAGTCCTACATGTGATGCTCTATAATGTCACAAAACTCAAAATATATTTTAATTCCACATGCAATGTTTGTTTTTTTGTCTTTAAGAGAAAGTAAATAAAGGTAGATCCAAAAAGAACAGTAAATTAAATCCATTTTTTTCGGTCATACTGAAAACTCATGTTGGGCTCCTATGCAAGGATCCATAAAATATAATTTATTTTAAGAATATATATAATTTTTACCATGGTTAAGTTGTGTTGTTATTGTGTGGAAAAAAACAAAATTAATGTTTATAACTGGCAGTAAAGATTAATGATATTATTATATCATATGATATATTTATGTAAAGTCACAAATCAATCCTCCTAAACATTATTGGCTGGACATAAAATGGCAGTGAAATTGGGCCTTGGACAAGAAAAGCCCTGCAGCAAGGAAGAAATTGGGCTTCGTTGCAGAAGAGAGTAAAGTGGCCCAACTTTACACGCCTTCAACTATTTTGGGTGAACCAATTTTAAATTGGGCCAGCCAAGTTTACAAATTTTCTATATGAACATTTATAATACTTTGAGTCCACATTTTTTTAGGTAAAATCAAGTGTAAATAGCTAAACTTATTCAAATGAAAACAAATCAAATCTTTTATACTTGTGTATAAAATAGATGTAAAAGTAGATCAAACCTATTTTTTTTTACCACTTCAATTCAACCCAGTCAAATTTTACCAATATTGAAGAACAATTTTTTTCCACCGAGTTTATTTCCTACACGACATTTAATATCTATATATATATTAAAAGCCAACCTATTTACCAAAAATAGTAGCAAGAAAAGTCAACACACATTTAATGCATACCTTATTTGGAAATATTTTATTATATGCATTAAATGCTTACATATTTACATTTATTATCCAAATATGATCTTAAAGATTTGTTTCTTAATTAATTTATGCAATGATTTTACTGATATCTATTATAATTAATATTTGTCGAGTAATATTTTTTAACCTTTATTTAATTATATAAAACTAATATTTTTTACAAAAAATAATACTATTTATCATTTAAAAGATAATGATCATATCATTAGATGGTTTTATTGATAGTTAGATAATAAAATTATATTAGTTATTCTTTAAAATTTTTACTAAAATAAAAACCGGCTTAAGAAAAAAAATTCCCATAACATCCGATAAGTCAAAAAAAAGTACGTAAAATCTTTACTAATAAAAAAGACTTTATTTATTTGTCTTATTACATAGTAACATCGATTTAGTCAAAATAAATCCCATAATCGGTGAAGTCAAAAAATATACATAAAACCTATTTATACTAAAAAAAAGAAGATTCAAAATTTTTTATCTAATTTCTGTTTAAAGCATTTATTTAATATTTATTTATATAAAATATTGGATAGAATTGTTGGATCTGAGTCAATTTTGTAATCGCGTTGTTTGGTATGAGGGGATTATCTGCATCCTATAACTGTCTAAAGCATATTATGTTATATTATTTAATTAATTTATTTAATATTAAATTTTTTCATCCATGATATCAGTTTTGTCAAAAAAATTGAACAAACAAACAAATAAAAAAGAAACAGGATTAATTACCTTCGACTTGAAAAAATTTATGGGTAGACGTAAATATTTAACAATGTTGTTTCAAGTTCCTTAAATAATACTATAACTATGATGTTGTAATATAATCTGTTTTATGAGTGACGTAAATATGCTTTTTAAAGTTCCCTAAAATATTTTTTAAAAAATTATGTTGTTTAAAGTTCCTTAAATATTAATATATTTAAAGTATACACATGCTGTAATATATTAAAGTCAAAACAATGTTGGAAGGTTTTGAATTATCTAAGTTTATTAATTTAAATGTTTAATCCCATTAAATCTTCAATCCACGGAATTTACTAATCCCATGAGCATGTTGTTTTATTATTGTAATCTACTTATACACTATTTTACTAATAAATTATTTAATATCTATGTACAAGGAGGTCTTTAATAATATATGAATTTTTTTTGTCAGATACTATTTTATTGTATAATTTTCCTGTGTACTATAAAACTTTTAGTGAATATTGCATCTTATAATATAATATTCCTCAAATAAATATATCCTGTGTCTCGCACCGTCCCGTACTATATATATCATGTACATTTTTTTTATTCATTTATATAACTATAAAGCTGGATAAATAACCTTAAAATTGTGCACCCCGTGCATAGCACGGGCTCTGTACTAGTTTATGAAAAGAGCCAAAACATAGCTTATTGCAATCATAAATGAGAATTTTTTTTCTTTTTTAATTTTCATTTAATTTCTTTTAGAGTGGTCTCTTCTTTTATTTGTCTTTTAACTCACATGCAGCTATGGTAAACAAAAGAGAAAAGGCCAAATGGAATATATATTTGTTGTGAAAGGCAACAAAACTTTTTAAACGACCACGATGTATTATACCCTCTTTATAATTTATAGAAAAATATTACGGTCTCGTTACAGAATCATTCCGTCAGAGTTTGTAATCGTTAGATCAACTATCATCGACGATTACATGATGATCTCCCTAAATTATATAACCATCTTTCAATGGGGACATTGTTTTTTTTCTCCATAGATTTCAGTGCAAAACTTATTTTTCACAGAAAACTGCAGTACAATAGACTCAGCACAGAGTACAACTACTCTATCCGACAAGAATTCACGAGTTAACGTCCTATTATCCACATTTTTCCCTAAAAAAAACAAAAAGCATAAAAACAAATAAAGACATATATAATATACAGTCACATTCTATCACTCATTTTACACCAAAATTCAAAGCTCATACCCACAAAGGAAAAATCCATAATCGCATCAATTTGTCCCTAAAAATTCGACCTAAAAATGGGACGACACAATCGCCTGCTGCAATACGTCGTCGTCTCGCTCGTCGCCCTGGCGGCCGTCCTCGGCCGGGACCTCCGCCCATCCGACCACGGCCTGGCCCACCAGGAAGCCTCGCCGCTGCCGCCGCCGGAAGACGGCGACGAGCGGGAAATACGGTCGTTCTTCGGCGGCACAGAGTCGTCGTCCGTGGAGCTGCCGGAGGCGAAGAACATCAGCGACACGTGGTGGAGCGAGCGCGGCGGATCAGATGCCGTCACCGGCGCCGGCGCCGTGTCAGCGCGGGACGCCGGGAGGGACCGCGTGCGGCTGGGCCTGGTCGTGGCGAGTGGGGTCTGCGGGATGACCGGCGTTGTGCTTCTGGTGGTGTCCGGCGTGGTTTTCGTGTCCCGGCGGCTCCACAAGAAGAAGATGAAGGCGGCCGGAGATACGTCCACGTCAGCAGCGGGGAATAGTGGTTAGTGGTTGGATTATTAATTAATTAGTTAATTGTAACGGGGAGGTGTTCAATTTCGGTGGCCCTGCTGTTGTTTAGTGTACAATTAATTGTTAAATTACGTGATTATGAATGCTGAAAATCTCATCTCATTGATATAATAACGAAAAAGCTAATTGATATAACAATACTCGGATAATTAGTTGATAAGTTAGATGAAATAACATTTTTTTTATAAAATTTATACAAAGAATCTCATGAAATAAACTTTATTTTATTAAAACGCTCATTGTCATTCTACCAAATTAAACTTATAAGCTTATTAAATAAGATATAATATAACCCATTTGCCTTACAAATAACATTAGACTTCAAATATTAAATAAAGTTTAACCCTTATCTCTATACTAGCAATTGTGGTCACCTTCTTAAGGAAAAAAAGAAAAATACATATTATCATGAACAATCAATTTGATTTTCAAGAAGCTATACATAATAATGCACAACACACTAGTATCATTGACCAAGAGGAATCCACTCTAGCTCGAGATCTATTTCTCCCGATTCGACAT